AATCGATGCCACTATCCTCGCACGAGGATAGGGCTGTTTCCATTATCAGATCTATAACAAAGTTGAATAGAAAAGGAGAGAGGGCAACTTTTTCCAAGGTGAACTCGGGCGAAAAAGTGTCGTAAGGTTGGACTCGGCTTCGGCTATTGGTAATAATATTGAAACTGACTTCTCGGGCACAATTTTCAGAGAAAGACAGTACCAGAGTTTAGAGCGGTCGACTGAGTCAAAAGCCGCTTTCAGATCCAGGAAGGCATGGACAAACAGCGGGTCACCACAGCAATAAATAATACAATCAAATAACAGCGAGTAGACGAGTTTGCCAGCAGTCAAATAAAATCTCTGGACAGAACTACATAAATCCGGTTACACTGCGGATTGGCGCTTTTACGTAATGACGCTGATGGTGTTGTCTGGCGTGGGTTTGAGGCTTCTGCAAACAGTCTAAGCTCTGAAAGCGCTCCATTACCAACATTATATCTAATTTCAGTTGCCTTTTCTTTATTGGAATGAGGGCCATTGGGTTAGTTTCGTTTGCAGTGGTGTGTGCCAACATAATTTGAAGTAATCATCAATGCTGTTTTAGTTATCATACTACAATGAGTTTATATTCTACAGATTTACTGTCTTAACATAGTGCAACGTTGACCTGAAAATTCATAGCAAACGTCTTTCAGTGAATTTTTCTCCATACGGTTCGCAGAACCGGATCCCAATTTAGTGAAATTTAGCATCAAAAGTATGTTTGAGGCTACCATAAGGCCAAACCCAATTCATTATAAAAAAGCAGACAAGAGAAAGCAATAAAATCACGAGGAACCAAAAATAGAAGAGACCATACCCCATATTCGGTCCCTAATGGAAGTTATCCACGAAAGTATATAATCCCATAATGATGGTTGTTCCAGTGCTAGTGCAAGCTGTTCTCCGTTAGGCAGTGCTTTATTTTCAGTGCCATATTCTATTCTCGGGAGTTGTCCAGCCGTTGTCCCTCCTATGGTCTTCACGTTGATTCTGGTATGCATTGTCTCTCCAGAGGGCATTTCCACTTCAAAGTCGGTATTTTTTCCTCCCTCCTGACTTGCTTCTGCAGTATCCAATTGAAAGTTTCGTTCCACTACCGAACCATCGTTTTCATTTTTGATTATTTCGTTGATGTTGATGGTAATCGGCTCGGCTCGTGATCCTGCTTCATCCTCGATGGCTGAGTCGATTGTGTAACGCACCGTGATCCCAACCACCATTTCAAGTATTGTTTCACTGGCTTCATCTTCATTGAGACTAGTGGATCGCTGATCCATTGGGCCTGTTGCCCATACAAGGTTCCTTGAGGCGTCCTCCTATAACACGTACATTCAAATGGTTAAGATCGATCATGTACAGAGAGGGGTTTTGACGCGAGTCACGTGAGCGGCATTAGCTGACCCGAGATTATTGAATCCGATTGTTCAGGTCGCGTCTTTCGGTACAAAAATCCCTACTTTTTAATGGGTCCTTAAATGTGAGACATATTTAAGATATTTGGTCTCGTAATTGTCGTTACCAGTAAAAACATTTCCCGCCTGGAAGTTGGTTGCGTATGTGAATTTACGAAAGCTCTTTAAAGATTCACAGTCAAAACGATAATGGCAAATTTTAAATGCGCAATAAACCAATATTTGGTGAGATATGAAGTCATATGAAGTCTCTTCTGTAAAATAGTTTCTCATTTCCTGGTATGAGTCTACTGACGGGGGTCAAAAACTCTACTACAAACTGGCGAACTCATTTATATTATATTATTGCTAACTCCTTTTATTTGGAATTACATAGAACTATCTTTTTGTATTATACCTGCGGACAAGTGACGCTTAAAGACTCAGTTCCAATGCAATGAAAACCAAGACTGTCTAATGATACGGTAGGATTAATACGAACCAACTAGGAACATGATGAATTCTATACAAATTTTGATTCTTAATGTATCTGGGTGAGGTGCTTCTAAATAAAGGCATCAAAGTACATCTTACAATCAGGGGGCTTCCAAAGGGGACTAGTCACTGTCAAAGAAAGAAATGATCAAAGTTTACGGAGTCAAATAAGATAAGTCCAGTCAGGTAGTGACACGAAGCTCCGAAAAGATGAGCCAGTCACACGAGACTTGGGCGCACAGAATTCGATTTCTCATCATGCGTGTGTGTGCACATGAATGACTCCCAAAGAGCGATCAGAACAGGTCAGATTTGCGAGGGTGGTTAGATAATCGATAAATGATAAGCGGTTACCCGGCACAGAACAAGGACAGAAGAAACATAAGTCAACCAATATAAAGGGACTATGCAGGTCGCAAGGTGAACTCGTGTGATTTAAGCAATAGGAGTGAGCGGTGTGTCTGTTTGTCCACCTACCTACCCGAGACCGTGAAAACTAGGCACTCGTTTGGTTGTGTAGGAAATCGCTAACCAGAACTAAAACGAATATCAACAGGATAACAAGGGAATGATGGGGTGGACAATGAGACGGTTCCGCTTGTCTCATTGGGGTGCATGAGGCTGAGGGCTGATCCCGAAAATCAACGCACCACCGAACAACACAATCAATCGAAATTCAAAGGCCTTGGGTGACAGGTCTCTAGAAGCTCCCATACGGGTGTTTCGTTCACGCTCCCGCGTTAAATTTACGCCCCACTGCCTTGTGGGTCAGACTTTTGAGT